AGGTGACTCGCGGAGCTCTCTGGCCCTCGTATTGTGTAAACTTGGCCGGGCGGCGCAGGAAGGCTAGCCCGAGGGGAATGGCACAGGTGAGGCGGCTGGAGCGCTCGGGGGCGCCAGGGGCGGTTTGCAGAGTTTCCTGCGCCCGGGCACCAGCTCGGAGGATTCCTATTCCAGCCCCTGCGGCGGTGCCACTGTTCCCAGCGGCGTGTTTTTTTTGTTGTTGTTTTTTGTTTACAAAGGGGTTATTTAGCTTGTGTTGCTTGAGTCTTTTTTTTTTTCTTTCCCCCCTTGCCAGTACCTCCAGGTTATAAATAGATCTTCCTTTTGGTTCAGAGACACTGTGTCAAGGAAGGACACTGGCCTGGAGAGCACCGGGCAGGGAAGAGGGCTGCTGGGTCCGGAGGAGTGGGGGGAGGCGGTGCAGAAAGAGTTTTGATTTCTTTCAAACCTGCCGATGGTGCTGTCACCGCAGTTAGTGCCAGGGAGAGGCCTCAGTGTGAACAGTAGTTTTCTTGCAAGTTCTGAGTGTTAGAGCAGGACCTGATTAATTTTATTGTGGTCTCTTTTAGCATTTTGCTAACAGCAGGAGCCACAGAATCTGCGGCGAGCCTGTGGAAAGAACCCACACGTGTATTTCACAGCACCCTGGGTGGACATTGGATGTGAAAATGAAGCCAGACCGAGGTAAATGACTTATTTAAGTAGGCTTTTCAGCCCCATGCCCCATTTTAGAAGCGTTAACCTCATTCTATGGGAGGACCAACCTTTTGTGTATTACATATGATTGCTTATTTCTTTACAGATTCCAGCTGGGAAGGTAGAGAAGGGGGCATGGAAGGGACAGTTAGGATCTAGATGGGAGGATGCAGTCTTCAAAACTGAAGTAGTTTCAAGAGAAGTTCTGTTGTAACTCAAAATGAGATTGTCAAGCACAACATTTGTAACTGTTGCCACAATACTTGGTATCATTTTAGAGTTACATTACCCATTTGAGGTAAAGTCAGTCTAACTTCAGTTTTAAAGAGGTTTACAGACTTTTTCAACTTAAGAATGTGAACTTGATCTGTTGAGGAAAATTCAGTGTAAGACTGTTTGAGTTGACAAATACTATTTTATTATTTGTGTCGCTTTATTAGCTGATCTTTGTGCCTTAGGCAAACTCTAAAACTTTGCAAAGTACTCCAGGGCCTTATTCAATATATCAATATATGGACAGCTAGGGCTATTGAAATCCCTAATGATAAGTAAATGTGTCATTTCCTTTTCATGCCTGTATTTTCAGGACTTATGAGAATAATGTATACACTGTTTTTTCAGGACTTCAGAGGAACTGAAAACTCATTTATCAGTTTTCTTTTGATTAATGGCATGGACCAAGATGAGATTTTAATATAGTAGTAGTTAGGAGTGAAGGCTTTTCAGTCAGATGGGGATTTGATTCCAAAAGAGATGGTAAGAAGATGATTATTGTATTTGGTAGGGAGTTGGACTACATGACAAAGTTCCTTCCAAATCTGAGAATTTAGGTGTGGAAATGTTAATTTATCCTCATATGAATTAGACACTCATTTTAGAAAAAGAGATGTATTAAACTGGTTATTTTTCCATATTTTTTCCCAAAGTGGATTAGAGAGAGAAATGTTCTTTTCTAGTCATCAGAGCTAATGTGTGTTTTTTTAAATGCACTAGAAGTGGAGAAAGCCATACTTAACTTAGTGGCTTAAGTTAGTTTAAACAGGCTGTTTCTTAAAATCAGCTAGTTATGCATGGAGTATTAGTAAGTATATTGCTACTAAGCAGATGGTTTGTGTAGAATTCCAGGTTTCTTTAGACTTTTAGATTACATCAGTGACTTTGGAAAAATGGCACCAAGGTCACTAATTGCATCGCAGAAAAAACAAATGCCCTAGCTGGTTTGGCTCAGTGGATAGAGCGTCAGCCTGTGGACTGAAGAGTCCCGGGTTCGGATCCAGTCAAGGGCACATGCCTGGGTTGCGGGCTCGATCCCCAGTAGGGACAAGCAGGAGGCAGCCAATCAATGATTCTCTCTCATCATTGATGTTTCTATCTCTCGCTCTCCCTCTCCCT